TCCTCTGACAGGCTGCTTGCCACAGGTGCATGCTTGGTACTGTCCCCCGTTCCCACTCCTGCTGTCCCAAGCAAGACCTCCCTATCCCCCCCAGCTTGCAGCTGTTGCCCTCCTCCAAGCCCTCAAACCCACTCTTGCCCACTGCCCTCACCTCCCTCCCCAGCCCCTGCCCCTCCCTTCCCTTTCTCCCCCACCCTCACACCCCTCCCACCTCAGAATATTTTTTTGTTCCTGGCTAAGTTTTGCATATGAGATGGGGGTAGGGGGCAGTGTTAGAAGGAGAGGACACTCTGCCATTCATCAGAGGTCTTACTAAAATGGGCGCACTTTTTCCATCTGAGAAAACCTTATGTTTTCTACCAGAGAAATGGGCAGAGGCCTCTCTCTGGAACTCGGTTGGAGACATGTCACACCCAGGGCAAGCCCCTGTCTCAGTAAACAGGCCCAACCTGCCCTGTTCCTTTGTTGGGGCACAGAGGGAATGGAATCTTACCGATAAGATGAAAAGGGCTTGAGAGAATACCAAAGACGGGCCCACCCTTCTCCCTCCAAACACCTAACACTAAAAGGGGAGGAAAAAAAAAGCACCAACAAAGAGTTTAAGATAGTAATTCCCAGCTTTTTCAAATATGAAGCATTTTTTAACCAATCCGTTTTTTTAATTCTTAAATTCTTGACATTACAGAACTAAACTGAAATTTATTAACATTCCACTCTTACATTTCTTATCGACAAACAGAAATAAAATCCATGAGCCAAAAAACCCAAAACAAAACTAAAAACAGGGAAAAGCTTATAAAACTAAATATGGATTCCCAGCATTAACAGCTGAACAGAGAATGTGATTTTTAAATTCTTAGCGGATGATAAACTTGTAGAAACTGAACACTTACAAATTATTTAAAACCTGGAATCACTGACCAGAAATTACACAGTTGGATCATGGGAAAACAGCAGAAAGAGATTATGAGTTAACCTACACTGTTCTAGCTGCACCCCATGCCCTTCTCAGAGGAAAGCCTGGCATTGATTAGATACTGGGCCAGACTAATACTGGCAGCAGAACCAGTGATAGTAACCTGCCTACCAGAAGAGCCTTCCACTGGATTGGCAATTTTGATCTGGGCCCCGGACATCTGGCGGATCTCATTAATGTTGGCGCCTTGGCGCCCGATTATGCAGCCAATTAAGTTATTTGGAATGGTGAGTTCATGGGTGGTTTGAGTAGATGCATCCAAACTTGCCCAATAGCCTTTCACCTCTGGAGAGCTGGAGTCAATTCCGGCGAATCCGGTCCCGCCGTGCATCATGGCAAAGTGAGACTGTTGTCTTGCCACCTGGTTCAGCTTGGCCAGATCGAGCGGAGAAATGGTGTGTTGTCCTTGAATCGAGTAGGCATCTAGAGGTGGTCCCTCCAGGTCATGGGTGGCGTGGGGGTAGCCCGCAGCGTCGCTGCACCGATCTTGGCCGCCCGCGCAGATGACTGGAGAGCTGGCCGGCATGGGCTGGTACGGAATGGTCATGACTCTCCCTTGCGGAGACTGGGAGAGCGTCTCCAGCATGACCAGGCAGATCTGCTTGACACACTCGGTGACAGACTGCGGCACGCCAGCGATGGTGATGGCCCGCTCGGTGGAGTTGGGCAGCATATCCCCCGCCACCTGGACCTGGGCCCCGGTACTCTCGCGGATCTCTTTGATCTTACAACCGCCTTTCCCAATCAGGGAGCCGCACTGGGTAGCCGGCACCACCAGCCTCAGGGTGACCGGGGGCCTGCTGGCCGCCGTGCTGTTGGTCATGGAGCTGTTGATATCTTCCTCCAGCTTGTCGATGATCATAGCGAAGGCCTTAAAGATGGCATTAGTAGGGCCGGTCAGAGTGATGATTCTCTCCGGACAATTCCCCTCCGAGATGTTGATCCGCGCGCCACTCTCCTCGCGGATCCTCTTTACCGACTCCCCTTTCTTCCCAATGATGCTTCCTACTTCCTTTCCGTGCATAAGAAGCCGAATGGTGAGAGTCACATTTAGTCCACTTTCAGTCACACCGGCATCCATGGCGAGCGGCGGGCGGCGTTCGGGGGAGTTGGGCTCGTTACGTGGTCAAGTCTTTGGTGGCTGGCGGGGGGAGGGGAGGTGTAGGCCCGAAACGGCCGGGGCGGGGCGGGCGGGAGCCGCGGGAGCGAGCGGGCGCGGGTGG